TAATAATAATAATAATAATAAAGTATCTAATTCAAGTTGTGGCAGCTGAAGCAGATCTTATACCATAATGCTCAGAAATGTGTGTGCCATCTCATATAAAATCACTTGAAAAGGAAATTTTCCAGTGCCTTTCCTATGGTAGTCCTGTTGCTTTTTCATCTCACATCTTTATAACATCAGTATGTCTTGGTGAAAGAATGTATCTGCAGTTTTAAATGGATATATAATAACAATGTAGTAAAATACACTTTTATCATAATTATTGTACAGATATTTGAAATGTTGTAGGAAGATAATTCACAATAAAAGAGCAGAAATTGCTACATTGAAGTGTTATCTTCAAAGCTACATTCTTACCAAACCAGCTCTCTCTGGGTTTGAAGAATGGAAGAACACATTGTTGCCATGTTCTAATAAGCATATAGCAAAGAAAATATCCCTCTTAGTTGTGCTCAGTACTCATGTACTGTGTGTTCAAGATTAGAAGATACTTTTTTTTTTTGGCTAAGCTGCATATCTCATAGTTCATACTAATATTTTCACTCCATTCGGAGAGTGTCTGCTGGAAACTGTAAGTTGGAGCCGACCTGACAACACAGAATACATAGTTTCCCTCTCTTAATGGTATAGATTCCTAGGTTTCTTAGGATTCAGTCTCAATGAAAGCAAGCACAGAAAGATAAAGAACATGCAATTATGCATCAATGATGCAAAAAACTAGGAGTGACCAGCAGAGGGATGCTTTTCACAAATTTAGATGGAAAAAGAATTTCCAAATTATCTATATTCATACTCTTGTAAGAAAAGGTATTTGGTGGAATTGCAGCTTCATTCTATGGGTGGGTTGTCAGAAAGCTTTAGAGATGTATTTCCATTTGGAAAGATAAATGTGAATTCTCTGTAGAAAAGTGTTAATAACATGGAATTGCCTATTCAAGAGACTCATGTTACAACGTGTTTGGTATATAGTATCTTAATTAGTTTTTGCATGCTCATTGTGACAGCATTGGAGTCCATAGGCATCAGCAAAGTAGGCCTAATGGTTCAGTGGCTAAAATACTGTACTTAGTGTATTACGTCACAACTACAGTAGACCCACTTAATCATTAGAATTTATGTAGGCAATGATTCACCTAAATTCTACTAATTCAATGGGCCTACTTTAATTTTGATTTACTGTGCCAAGTGATACGATTTTAGTCATCGAATGCTTGTGTTTTCTTAAAGGAAAAAAAAACATTTCAGCTGCCTCATCCTTGATATCTAATTCAATATGGCAAGAATATTCTATGCTCTGTGCTCTACATTATCAAGCTGTTGTAGCACTCCTAATTCAACCTGTTGGTGGGAGAAGCCCAGTCAGTGTAGTAGGAGAATAGCTTAATCAAAAGTTTTCTACAATATAATGTAAAGCATGAACCAAAAATAATTCATTTGCATTTTTTTTAGGTTACAAGGCAACTCTACGGAACGCTAGTCATGGAATTAATTCACTGGTTCACAAACAACAAAAAGTTTGAAAGCCAAGATACAGTGACATTATTAGAAGCAATTTTGGTACGTAATTGATACCTGTGAAATATGTTCTAGCTATTTTGTCAGTTTCATAAATAAATTCCTTTTCCAACTCTGAAGTCTCTTTGTTGACAAAAAGTTTACTGCCTTAGCATACACCATTTTTTACTCAGTGCGTAGCTGTAGACAACCTTCCCACTGAAAAAATGATGTTTCATTTCTTTCTCACTACAGATGCCACAGTTTATATATGCATGATTCTTGGTAACTTTAAAGAAAATATGTACTCCGTTGTTCAGAATGTATCCACTTTAACCCGAATGTGTGAAATACCCTGTTTCCCTGAAAATGATCTAACCTGAAAATAAGCCATAGTATGATTTTTCAGGAGGTTCATAATATAAACCCTACCCCCAAAATAAGCTCTAGTTAAGTGAAAGCCCACCCTCCACCAGTGTACAGCAACCAGAAGATGACATGACTGTATTTGAATAAACGTAGATTGTTGTACATGAAAAAAATAAAACATCCCCTGAAAATAAGCCCTACTGCTTTTTTTTGGAGCAAAAATTAATATAAGATCCTGTCTCATTTTTGGGGAAACACAATACTATGTCTGTGTAGAAACAGATTGTGGATGAATACTAAGGGAGTTGCTAGAAAATGTTTAAGACAAACTTACAGATGTTTAACTGCACACATTTAGGTTGTAGGTATGAAACATTCTCACTTATTTCTGCTTGTCCAGTGATATTCAGTCTGCTTTAGACAGGCTTGGATTTTACATGAAGTAGTAGATTTGTAGTTTTACTGTGTTAATTCAATAGAGCATTATTGCCCTAACTTCAGATGGCCTTCTTGAAGCAGAACATCTTGTATATGTTTAAACTGATACTGCTACAACTTTTATGTGGGCAGAGATATCCTCACTATAGTTGTATGTCCTCTGGTAAACACTCTTCTGTAAAACTACAATATAATGAAATGTGAATCTGGTTTCATAACTGTTCAGAAACTTTATCTGGTCCAAAATGTGGCAGAGGGGCTGAAATCCAGTAGTAAGAAACTATTAGAGTTGGCCCCATTGCATATTGGGACTTACACACTGACTCACCAAATCCCTGCTGATTCAGTGGGGTCTGCTCTCGTCCCTTCAGCCAGAAATTGTCAACAGGAAGTGGCTGAACATATTAAGCCAGTGTTTTGTAATCTGCATTGCTTTTCAGTCCATTTCCAGGTCCAAATCAAAATGCTGGTATTGTTATTTTAATACTCTTGAAGTCTTGAGGTCACTGAAACATTTACTTCTCCCCAGATCTCAAGACACTCATCTTCTCTAAATTTTCCTGGCTAATCAGGTGAAGCAGTTGGGTTTTCATGGAGAAGGCCCTTTGGATTTCACTGCTGGGTTATTAAGCAGTGCACCTGACTGCCCTGTCCCTGAAAGGCTTGTCTAATGCCTACATTACACTTTTTAGTGCTAGAGGAAGACACTTTGATTTTCCAGGCATTTTAAATTACAGTTCACAGCATTTTAGATGATGTTGGGAATAAACATTTCTTTCTCTTTGATATAATTTTAATACCCATTTTATACTCCTTGTGCTGTTTTTATGATATCTTCAATGTTTTAGATATTATATGGTTATTAGCATACAGCATTTAAATGGTTGTGTTGTGTTGATTTTAAAGCTTTGTGAACCATTAGGAGTAAGTTGATCAGGTAGAATATAAAAGGCCAAAGCATTCTTCATTGTGGCTTATCTAATGAAATGCACAGTTGCCCATAGGTCCTGGCATGAGGAAGTATGCAAGAAAGTTTTGTTGCAAAATGTCCTTATAGGGAATTGAGTCTGTTCTGTGTTTCAGAATGGAATCGTGGATCCTGTGGATAGCACTTTGAGAGACTTTTGTGGTCAGTGTGTCCGTGAGTTTTTGAAGTGGTCCATTAAGCAGACAACACCACAGCAGCAGGAGAAAAGTCCAGTGAATACAAAATCTCTCTTCAAGAGACTGTACAGCCTTGCTCTCCATCCTAGTGCTTTCAAGCGATTAGGAGCTGCACTTGCATTTAACAACATCTACAGAGAATTTAGGCATGTAACAGAATTTGACTTTCTATATAAGCTAGAGTCTTCAGATAGGGTTGGCAAAAGTATTTGCCACATTCAAATGTATGTGATTTCCTAAAAGAAGATCCTCTGTTGTTCTGTGGACTGAGCCAGACTGGGCTGCAGAGACAGACTTCCCCCGCACGCACACCCCCCGCACAGCCCGTTTGCACCTGAGCACGAGCGCGCCCACACAAGCACTGAGCTGCCCTTTGCACATACGCATGAGTGAGCATGCGCTCATGCACAGAGGGGTGCCCCCCTTTCCCAGCCAGTCCGTGGGGCTAAAAAGGTTGGGGACCATTGGGCTTGAGGTCATTGTTGCCTGTTCTAGTCTAGTGGTTTGCCTTATTGCAGCAGTTCTTACTGCGTTCTGTGGAGATCTCTGTTTTTGCATTTGACTGTTAAAATGTGGGAAATTTCATGAGACTTTTCTTTCATTTTGGGCGGCTTTAAATGTCAACAGTAAAACCTAGTTGTGAAATATTCATCTAATCCTTATTTATTGTTCCCTCACTTTTTAGGGAAGAGAATGCTCTTGTGGACCAGTTTGTTTTTGAAGCACTGGTTGTGTACCTAGAAAGCCTGGCCTTGACACACGGAGATGAAAAGTCTCTAGGTTTGTATTTGAAACTTCTTTCAAAGTTTTGCTGAATAAAACGTATGCCTGATTCAGGTGTACACATAAAGAAATGCAGACCTAAAACGTTTGGAGTTTTCTGGGAAAATGTTTTTGAAAACAATTAAAACACCTGCATTGAGAAGAATGTGCTCTATAGAAGATGCTGGTTGGTTGGTTGGTTGGTTGGTTGGTTGAATAATAAATATTTAATTATCATGTTACACTTTTAAGTATAGATATGTAAAGTGCTTCTTGAATGTTTTTGTACTGGGTTGTAAACAGCCCAGAACTTTTAGAATATATCGGTCAGTTATAACTTCAGTCTTTTCACTTTGGAAACAGGTACTACCCAACAGTGTTGTGATGCTATTGATCACCTGAAGCGTATAATTAAGCGTAAAGCATCTGTCCTGAACAAAGAAAGCAATCGGAGGTTACCTCGGTTAGTAAATCTTTCTTCTGTTTGTAGGTAAACATTAATATTGGGGAACCATGTAATATTTTAACTGTATTCATTTTGTAGTACTTCCTTTGAAAACATTCCTGCAAAGGCCAGTATCTTTTTAAATGTCTGCTGAGCAGAAGTTCTGTTGAGTACTGTAAAGTAGTTTGCTGCTACTTGTGCAAACTAATGGCACTTTCTGTACATGGAGACCACAAACTTATTCAGTGGCAATACTTAACACAAGTGTTGCTAAACTGGAGTTTGAAATGAAGGATTCCCGTATTTGTTCTCCAATTTTGCTTGTTGCTGAGATCGATGGACTCTTTTTTTTTAGCTTTCTTCAGCTGGTGAGATGGAAAACAAACTTTTTATCTTTGCATCAAGTTATTGTACAAGAATCTTAGTGTCTCCAGTATGCAGTGCAGTACCATCATGGCTATCAAAGATTAGAAAAGATGGCTTGGAGAATGGGCAAAAATATTAATTAAGCTGAAGATATGAGCAGTACGCTATTAGAGTTCAAGGCATGACATAAACCTTGGCTAAATTATATAATGTGTGAATTAGTTAACTCTTTTATTTCTGTTTTTAAAAAGCAGAGCAATATTTATATATATTTGAATTTTATTACTTTCATGTAGAGGATTTCCACCTGCACCAATATGTTTAGCAGATGTTGTCCTGTGGCTTTTACTGCAATGTGGACGACCCCAAACTGAATGCCGGCATAAAGTCATGGAACTTTTCTTTGAATTTGTTCCTTTGTTACCAGGTTTGTACAATGCAAATGCATCTAGATTGTATGCTGTTGGTATAATGATGTTTCCAAAGTCTGTACTAGGAATCAGGAACTTCTCAGCTTCTATTGTGAACTTAACAAATAGTTTTAGGCAGGCCATTATTCTTTCAGCTTGCGTCCCTCAAAAGGATCCACATTAAAAACCAATGTGGTTTTGAAAAGTTAGGTGTAAAACAAAACAGCAGATTTATTGTTGTATATTTATGCTGCAATTCACTTAATGTTGTTTGTTATGTACTATCAAAGTGCATTGGACCTATAATGGTCCTAATAGGATTTTCAAAATATGTGAGATATTTAAGGAGTGGTTTTAGCAGTGCGTCCCGCACTAAGTTTCTATGGCCAAATGGGGTTTTGAACCCAGATCTCCAGAGTTACAATCTGCCACCCTATTCACTATACCACATTAGCTTTTACTTTTGTCAGTTAACATAGGGGGATTTAAATAATTTAATTGTAGTCTAAGAATCTGCTGTGTGTTTTGCAAAATAAAGTACTGTGAAACTTGTACATATTCTGTTCCATCTTTGAAAGTCAGGGGCATCTAATTCTTACCGTGACTGGTGATAAGATCATATTCTCTAGTTAACCAATAAAGAAAGATAACTATATGGTCCATTTGCAGAAGCAAAATTCTGGGTCAGGCAATACCTAGTGATCCAAGAGTGATCCTGCCTAATTCAGGACTTTGATGCTCCAATATAAAGTCTGGGGGTAATAAGGAGAGCCTCTTCCAGTCCTTTTCTCCATTAGTCAGGAGGTTACTCTAAACAAGAACAACAAATCAGCATATAAAAGGACTATGGATTTTCCTAATTTGTTCCCTATTTTATATGTTCATGTTTTAGTGATGTTTTCTTGATGGGTACAGAATTGGGTGCATGCAGTACACTTACTGAGAAATATTTTAACTAAATTTGTTTCTCCAACAGGAAACAACTCTCCATCTTCCTGGTTGAATGACATTCTTCAGAAACGAGGAATCTCTTTTCTCATTAAAAACATTGAAGGAGGTGGTTGTGAAGGGGAAAATGTGTCTGGAATCTTGTCTCATCCAACTCTTTATGACCTGGAAGAGATCTTCAGTTTGCGAGCTGTTGTGCAATGGATGGATATGCTTCTGGCTGCTCTAGACTGTTACAATACTTTTATTGAGCAGAGAATGATCAGACCAGATGAAGTACTAGGTAGGTTACTCACAAAAGCGGTTTGCTTGATAATTCACCATCCTGAATCCATTAGAATGAAGTTCATAACTAAAAATTAAAAGCCATTTCTCATTTGAGATTTGACATTTGATCTCTTTCAAATAAATGCTTTCTGCGTTTTATCTTGTTTTCCAGATTAAAAAGTTGCCATGTGTAGAGAGAATGTTGTGTTGCCACTGGCCGTTCCTTTTAATAATTTTTCCCTAACAAAAAGGGATCTGAACACAGTATTATTTCGTTTCATAAAAAGAATGTAAAAGAGAACATGATTTGCTGCAAAATCCAGCAACCTATATACTTAGACCTAAGACTGTCACAGTAAGAGACTGGAAAGTGTTGTTACCTGCTTTCTCATCACTTACACTTCCAGCACCATCAGTGTAATGCCTTTTCTATCTCAGGCTTCTTTGACTGTATATTCCTATGCAATGTTTTGGTTTCCAGTTCTCATCCATGACATTCCAAAAGAACTCACAATACTTGCTTTATTTAATTACAGGAAGGTCCAAACATTTGGCTATACCACTTTTTGTCATCTGGCGCTTTCTTCCCTTTTTCTTCCTTTTTTCCTCAAGCACTGCATGTAGCGTTAGTCACCATGGGTCTTATACAAGAGAGATTATGGGAAAGAGCACTTTAATAAGGCATTTTTTTTCCTCCAAATCCTGTTTTGTATCCAAACTGCAATAATACTGGTGTAATGGAAACATTACTTCTAGATTGCTAAAGGCCAAAATAAGAAAAATATGGTAGATATACTGATTATTCCTTTTACATGCCCTTTGTGTCTTGCTGTGTAAGATGGCACTTTGTATTCTGAGGCAACTATATAATGCTGGTACAATTCTTTCAAGGTACAGATGCAAGTTCCTCCTTCTTGACATCGCTCGAGTTCTTCCTTGGAAAAATTGCTTTGCATGATGTGTCTGGTGCAGAACAGTGTTTTAGCACTGGGCCCAAGGGCAACATATTTAGTCCACAAGAAAGAGAAGAATACAACTACAGCAAGTGTACAATTGTAGTTCGAATTATGGTTTTTGCCAGCATGATTTTGGAGACCCGTCAGCAGGATTTCTGGAAGGTAGGTTGGCTCTGTTGTTCAGGATAGAAACAAGCCTGCTTACTAATTTCCTGTATTCAAGATGACTTGGGGCTTGTATTTTTCTTCTCCAGCATGGGATAATTCAAAGAAAAAAAACCCTAATATGATAATTAGTAGTGTGTCAATCTGAAATGCTCTTAGTGTCCCAGATTATCTTTGTTCACCATCAGTGTCTTCTGTAGTTACTCTGGCACTGTGCTGGTGAAATGAGCTCCCTGTTGTGTACTAGAGATGGGCACTTGCTGTTATTTGGCACTTTGGCATGGTTCAGTGGATCAGGCCCACAGGTGTTGCATAAGTGCCCCAGATTCCACACCCTGCCTCCTCCTGCTGGCACCCCATCAGAAGTAGCACAATGAGTTCCCCTTGTCTCACCACCTCCTCTTCTGAGTGGGTACCCGTGGAAGGAGGCAGGGCACAGAATCCGGGACACGCCCATATCACCTGTGACCAAACCACACTGAAGCACTGAACTGCAGTAAATGCCCATCACTATCATGTACCATGGCATTAATAGCTCACTAAGAAGAGTAGATCACCTTGCACCATGTGTTAAAATAGTAATCCAGTCAATACTTTTTTCAGAATAAGCCCTATTGTACTGAATGGAATTTTCTTCTGAGTGGATGTGCACTTCTGTGGACATACTAAAATTAGCATTCAGTGGCCAAAATAATGTTGCACAATTGTGCCAGCATATCGCTAATGGGATAACTTTAGGAGGCAATTGTCTCTAGTAAAGAAATCGCCACAGACATTATCTGTTGCATAGTTAATTAACTGTTTCAGTACGCAATATCTGTGGTGGTTTCTTAACTTGAGGTAATTTGCCTCCAAAAATTACACAGTTAGCATTATGCTCACATACCTGTGGAGGAAGATTTTGGTATTAATTTTTAAATGAAAATAGATTTGATATGCCCTTGTAATGACACTTTTTAAAAAGCCATGGGTTTTCATGAAAATTAGATTGTTAAAGTTGCTTTGCATGATGAGTTTGGTGCAGAATATTGTTTTAATGCTGAGCAACATAGAGAAGTTCATACACATATTGAAAATGTTACCCTGTGTGTCACATAATAAGCTCTAAAGTCTGATAGTGATAATTTAAAATAAGAAAACATTCCACAAAGAATGTAACAACTGAAGAAGTTAATATGTTTTCAAAGTAAGTACATGGACAAAATATTTAAAGTTAATTTTTGAAGTAGAAGTATTGAATTTCAGAATAAATTATGTCTCATTTTCATCTTATTGTTCATAGCTGCTTGAGAAAAAGTTGCTTAATGACAATCTCATAGATCTTGTCGTGAAAACAGTCTGTGACCCGCAAAGTGTAGGCTTCAACATTGCTGATGTACAAGTTATGGAAAATCTACCAAATGTTTGTGTGAGGCTTATAAAAGCTTTGATGAAATCTCCTTATAAAGAATCTTTAGAGAGCGGTATAAAGAAAATAGTAACATCCAAAAGGTAGGACACTTTTAAACAAAACATTCTGTGTAACCACTTACGAAAACAAAATATGTAATTGTTTAATTAGACATTTTTATGTTCTAGTCATAGAGTCACTATGTATTATCTTTTGTTCATTTGTTTCTTTTTAGCATTGAGGAACTTTGCAGTGTTGAGCTCTATAATCCGGATGCCCGCTTAGATCATGTCAAACTTGGCTCCATTTTGTCTGCTTGCAAGCAGCTTCACAAGGCTGATTTGCTTCATTGTACCTTACAGTCTCAGGTAAAAATACAGCTTGTGGCACCAATACACTTCAGTACTTTAGCACAGAGAGAAGTTTTACAACATGATGACTTGCTTTAGTTGTTTTGCAGTACTTCAAAAGTTTACAGTGTATCAGTATAGCAAAAATCCCAAATAAGATGCTGTAAATGATGCTTTCACAATCTGTCATCACCCTACTTCTTGATAACAAAATGGGATATTTTCTCTCTTTTTTGGGAACAAATATTTTTGTTTGCTTTTGCTTTATTTTCCCTCATATATCATCTAACTAGATTGGGGCTATATATTTGACTCTGTGCACTGTTGCATTATGCAATCCTTATGTTCATGTTGCGTGTTTCTAGAATGCAGCTATAATGAAGCATTGCTGGTCTGACCATATTTAAACTGGTAGTTTGGTTCTTAGTTAAGTTGGGGTGGTAAGAGGAAGAGACCACAGTTTTGTATTCTCGGTTTTTTAACTAACGACGAGAAATTATAAACTTCAGTTTAAAAATAATTTTTCTTCATGATTATGTAAGTAACTGTTCTCTTCAAGTACATCTCTCTCTCCCTCTCCCTCCTAAGGGTACAGATCTACATTGTGAGATAGGCTCTAAGCTCATGTTAGTTGTGTACAGAGGTATTGCTCCAGCTGATGAAAGGAAGTCTCTTCCCTCACTAGATGTTGCCAGTAAACGATTAGCTGACGGGCTACTGCAGCTGGCTTTTGCCTTTGGTGTCCAGGTGAGGTTGACCTTGTTGATGCTAATACTTGTATTTGGACGAATCATGTAATAGCGGTAACCCAAGACTAAGCATTCACCATTCAGAAGAGAGAATTCAGTAACAAAATGATGACTTTATTAAAGGAAAAAAGAAAAAAAATGACCATGGAAGTTTAATTTTTTGTTTAGCATAGTGTTTCTTTATAGGACTTTTTCCCCCAGCCCAATGTGGTGAGCATTGTTTCTCAGATGAAGATGACATTCTGACATTAATAAAATCTTTCTTTTCACACATGATGACTGCATGTCATTCCAACAGACATGGACTTTTAGGCTGGGATGATTCCTATTCTGTGTGTCTCCATGTTTTAATTTCAGGACTAACTTGTATAGGCTAGTGCCACATAGAAATCAAATTCATCTCTGTTTTCAGTGTGCTAACCCGCTGCAAGTTGGAATTAGGTCATACATTTTGCCTCACCGTCCTTCATCATACAAAGCCTCCCTCTTTCTCTGAGCTTCTCAGGTATTAGCCTAGGCACAAATTGTATTGGGGGAGAAGGTAAAGGTCAAATTTATTAAACTAAAACTCTTGATAATTTGATCCTGAACTTACTGGGTCATAGCAGGAACTGAACCCATCCTTTGGAAGCTTCCTTGAGTAACCCCAGAAGGAACTTTCACAAAAATTATCCATTGCATCATTCTAATGAATAAAGGACATTCTGATCACTTCAGAGTTGTCATTCTTCAAGAAATATAATCCTGTTATTTCTTTCACATAATTACTACAGGACCCAAGGTTAGCATACACTCTTAGGTTGCTTGTTAATAACATCTTTGTTGCTGTTTCTCCCTCTTACATGTGTTTCGTCTTTAAGATACACAGTGTTCTTAAATTTTTCATTTTAATTATTGTGTGGAGTTTTTCCCATAGTTGACTTATTCTAGTGGGTGGGGCTCCTCCATGTGTATGAGAGGTAGGAGCCTTTCTATGCAAGGAAATAGTACGAAAAATGAAAATTATTCAGAAATATCTCAGTGCTTTTCCAGTACTTTAGTGAGAGGGACAGATAGAATTAACCACTGTATTTTTGACTGAGAAATATGTTCTTAATGTTGAAACACATAGTTAACTGTTCTGTATTCATTTCCTGCAGTGCACAGAGCTTGTGAGTCTCTTGCTGAACACACTGATGTTATCTGTACCATTATCTGGAGCATCCCAAAGAAACCTTATCAGCTTTTCTCATGGAGAGTATTTCTACAGCTTGTTTTTAGAAACTATAAACAGAGAGTTGCTGAAACACCTGGATACAGCAGTTCTTCAGCTCATGAAATCAGCTGTGGCCAGCCCCAAAATGGTACTAAATTCTTATTTTAGAACAGCCATTTGGCAAATTTATGATTTCTCAATTTTTAATCCTAACATAAGCATGTTTTTTTAAAAGACATGACTGTAGTGGGAATTTGCATATTCTTTTAATAACTTCTTTACATAACTTACAAGTATTGTAGTTCCACATTGCTAAAGCTGAATTACATACAATGCTATCAATACTCTGTTTCAGGTTGGTACTATTTTAAATGGTATGTTGGATCAAAGCTTTAGAGAGCGTGCTGTTCGCAAGCAACAAGGAGCAAAATTAGTGGCTGCCATATTAAAGAACTGGGAACATCTTAACCACTGGTGGACCAAAGATTCTGCTCCTGAGAGTAAAATGGCTATCTTGACTCTACTTGCTAAAGTTCTTCAGGTACAGCAAAAATTGTGGTAGCAAAGTTAATGTTTGAGAGAGAGTCTGGAGCCCCTTTCCAGATAATTTTCCAAAAATGATAACATCGACTTGAAGCATCTGAGAAACCTCTAGATAGTTGGCTTTAATTTTGATATATTTCTTGTTTATATTTCGCTGATTAAAAAAATGCATGCAGAATGTGGGTAGGATTCATTCTTTTGGTTTGCATGCAGAGGGTATGTATCTTCATGTACAGGAATGTTTCCTGCATCTGATTATATTGTGCAGTCAAAGCTAAGATCAATTTCCTAGGATCTACACATGACTGTAGCTCTTCATCTGGCAGTGCAGTTGGCAGGCTATAGAAATGCGAAGTCCTCTGCACTCAGCAACTTGGAAGACCATAGAACCACAAAGTTGTAGGGATTAAAGAGACCCAAGAGTCATCAAGTCCAGTCCCTTGCCAAACACATAATACCGTTTCCTGAGTTAACAGCGGTTGAAGATGTAGGCTTCTATGCTAGAATACATACAAGACTGAAAACCTATATACTGAAATAATTATGATTTTCTTGAGGCTGCAGCCTGTTTTCAGTTTCCTCACAGCACACAGCATGGCATTTATTGTGTATGTCATGTTTTGTCAAGTTGGGAATGACTTATAATGATCCTCACTGGGCTTTCAAGGTAAATGAGATATTTAAGAAGTAGTTTTACCAGTTCCACACACCACATGTGAGCTTCCATAAACAAGTAGGGATTTGAACCAAGATCTCCTTAATTCCAGTCACTCTGCCCACAACACCACAGTTAAATATTAAAACGCACTTTCCCATATTAGCTATCCATTTGAGTAAATGTTCCATAGCTCTTCATCTACATTTTGGGCTTCGTGCACAAAAAGGGTTGGAGCAGATATTGTGTTAAGGAGTACTAACATGGTTGCACAATTGAGCTTCATAGTTTTTACTGATCTGCATAGGTGTCATTTGGAATGCACAGGAATTTTGATGATAATAAAGCATATTCATTCTATGAAGGGGTATTCTGATTTGAGGAGGAGTTTGGCTGCTGTTGATAGCTTCTGCTCACTTAGTATTGGTGTTTCACTGTTTACATATTGATAGGAGCTATTATAAGGATGTTTCTCGGTACACAAACTATAACTTCTGCTAGCATAAGAGAAATGATGTGATCCAAAGTGAAATTGCCACTACTGTAATTAAAGAATCTCCACTTTGATTACTCATTGTTTAAATGTAATTTCTCTGCATGCAAGTCAAATTGGATTTGTATGTGATCTAAACTAGAAGCAGGGACTCTTTATTAGTAGCAGTCTGCTGGTGGTAGTGATGCCATTTCTTTTACCCTGGCATGATTATACAAATTGATTTTTGGTCATACTCTGATAACTGAAATATATATTAGAAATATTTTGATTAATTATCAAATGGAATAATGGTGAAAATAATATTTTACAATATTAATGTTAACTAATACACTTATGTATTTGTTTCTTTTTCCCAGATTGACTCTTCTGTGTCATTTAACACAAATCATGAGGCATTTTCTGTTGTTTTCAATACATACACAAATCTCCTTATGGACCAGAAGCTGGGTCTAAATCTCAAAGTGAGTGAACTATGTATGCAATTGTGTTTTACTGTTTCTAGATTTGTGAAAAATTGCTTACTTGTGGGGCAGTGGTTAAGGAGGGGGGACGAATCAAAGCAATCCCATGGCTGTATAAGGAGGAAAGGGATCAAAATTACTGTGCAGTCATGGAATTGTTTTGATCCCTGCAGCACTTTGATCCTTTTAACCTTATGTTTGCTAAGCCCCACTTAGATTTCTTAATTTGGGGGGGGGTCGTCTTATACATGGACATATATGGTAGCTACAGTAAAGCTGTACCTGAAAGAACTAATTTACATTTCCATGTCAGGCAGATAAATCTGATGTGGCTGTTTAATTCTGCTAAGTCCACAAACCCTTATATTAGAGGAAAGCTGTTAAATTGATAAATAATGCCCTTCTAAAGAAGGATCAATCTTCCCCTCCCCATATCCTTTCTACCCAGCACACTGCCACTGTTACTATCTCCCTGAGTCTGGGATCCTGGGAAGGTCTTGGTGATCTGGTGTCCTCAACCATTAGTCAAAGATTAGAAGGACTTTTTGATTTTAAAAAAATGGCACAAGTTGAATCAGTTGTTCAAGTTCCCATACAGTAATTTCTAAATTTAGATACAGCGATATATGATAAAATATTTTTAATTGATTTTCCCCATTTTCCTCCACAAATAACTTAATTGGCTAACTGTGTTAAAATCAAACTTAAGAGTTTAAACCTCTATTCTGACAGAATTCATCAACTCATTGGTGACACATTGAATAACTTTGACAATTGCTTGAACTAGTGAAGGTTTTACATCCTAAAGTTCAGAGGTTTATAAAAATAAAATATTCTGAATTACTTGTATGTTTCAGAGTCAAGCAGTTATCATTCTTCCATTTTTCACTAACCTTGCTGGAGAAAGACTGGATGGCCTTAAAAATGCACTTGAGAAGCTTGTAGCATTTAATTTCCCTTTGAGATCTGATGAGTTTCCCAAAGGAACCCTAAGGTACAATAACTACGTGGATTGCACTAAAAAGGTAAGTAAAGAGCTCTGTAACTTATTCATGATGTTGGTTTCTATATTTTATCTATGTTTTAGAGGTACATTAAAATGAGTTTTAACCTTCCTTGAACCCAAAACAGAGATACTTAAGGTCGAAAACAAATAATTTGTTTTGTGTCATCAAATTGCTTCCAACTCATGATAACCCTGTGAATGGAGTGCTCTCCAAAATGTCCTCTCCTCAGCTGACCTGCTCAGCTCTTCCAGACTCACGACCATGGTCTCTTTTAGGGAGTCAGTCCATCTCATATTTGGTCATCCTCTTTTCCTGCTTGCCTTTTACCTTTTACAGCATTATTGTCTTTTCCACTGAATCCTAACTTCTCATGATACATCCAAAGTAGGACAGCCTCAGTTTCAGTGTTTTTGTCACCAGAGACAATTCAGATTTGATTTGATCTAGGATACACTTGTTTATCTTTCTGGCAATCCAGGGTATCCACAAAGCTCTCCTCCAGCACCATATTTCAAACAAATTAATTTTTTTCCTTTCAGCTTTTTAAACTTTCCAACTTTTACACCCATACTTGGTGATTAGAGATGGGAACAAAGCACTTCAGGCCAGGTTATCTTAAGTAATCAGCATGTTCCCTTCGCCCCCATCCCCATTGGCTCCCCCACCCACCAGCTGGACCCGCACTGCTCATTCCCTTTCCATCACGTGATCTTCCAGTCCAAACAGAAGCAGGGGCTTCCCTTTTCAAGCAGCTGTCCCTTTCCATCACGTGATCTTCCAGTCCGAACAGAAGCAGGGGCTTCCCTTTTCAGCTTCCTCCAGGAGCTGCCCACTCCCAGGCAGCACTGCAGGAATCCCTGCACACAACCAAATTGTTTTCCTTTAGTCTCTCATATTCTAAAAATTCTACATTTATGCAAGTAAATTCATAAATTAAAAAGCTTAAATCCAAGATTGATTTTGTGAGCATTGGCTGGAATGCACCTTTATTTTTTAGCATCCACATGAGGAAAGAGTTCTGCTGTTTTTGTTGTTTAGAAATCAGGGATGAACAGAGAAGAATAGCTGAGCTGCCAAAAGTGGAGAAACAGAGTAGTGTGCAGTGATAATTTTATATGCATGCTTAGATGTCATTTTTGGGGGAATTAGAGTTTTGTTGTCTGTTTAAAAGAAATTCTACTATGCAGAGAGCTAGAGTTTTGCTGTCTGCCTGTTATGCGTGATCTAACCAAACTGTCTTTTTCTCAAGTTTCTAGATGCACTAGAACTATCCCAGAGTTCTATGTTACTGCAGTTGATGACAGAAATTCTTTGCAGAGACCCCAAGCACATAATGGAGGAATTATTTGAGATCAGCTTCAAAAGAATTGCCAGAAGGTAATCATGACTGCTTACTCTGGAACCCATGTCCATTCTGTATTGACAAATCATGCCATTTAAATGTCAATAATTTTGTTTTGTCAAAACACCCGGACATCAATCATTGAGGCCAGGAATGGAGAACACAGAACACCTCTCAGTGCTTCTTCCTCCAGTGATGATCCATGTGGTTGATAGGGAAATTTCTAATGCCAAATTGTTCTAGTGCCCTTTAGTCAGTTGTTAAGTCTTCCCAAATCTTAGACAAATGGTTTTGTTCAAGCACCTGTGTGGCTGATCAGCATAGAAAATAAAGTTAGGGTGGAATTGGATGACTGCAAGGGTGTGTGCTTAATCATACTGGGCAGAGTCACTTTAATAGAAGCCATCTTCCTTAAAGTGTCCATTCCTTCTGACAGGGAATCACTGTAGCCCAGCTCCCAAAATAGGCACCCTACAGCTGGACCAAAAAGGTCACTGAGCACTGATTGGGCTCAGGATGGAATGCATTTCCCTATCTGTCATGTGATTGCCAGGAAAAGATTGCACCAGAGAGTTCCATAAGTGATCCAAATTGCAGTCTCTTTCCCCATGTGACCACACCCTTAAATGCAGGATGTGTGAGTCAAATAGGTTCCTTAAATTTTCTTAGAAATTTCTCCAGAGACTTTCATTCTGCCTATTTAAGAAATGACACTTGAGAAGGAGTGTCTGAAATTAGATTTCGGAAAATGCATTAATTTTTTAATTGGAATGTCATTGAAGGTTGTCTTGTAATGTCTCTCATTTAGGAGTAGCTGTCACAAACAGTTGTTGCTACTAGACTGTGTGCATAAAATGTTCCAAAGCGAACACCTTCTTTCAAATGAAACTCGTCAAGCCTATGTAGACCGCTGTCTTCTCACATTACTGCTTCACTGCAGCCTGGATGCACTGAAAGAATTTTTAACTAAGATTATTATAGAAGCTATGGATACACTGAAGTCAAGGTTTACAAAGGTAAAGGTTAAACCATGACTTCTGAAACCATTTTAAATGACCAATTACATTTATTTGTTCATTTTTAGAAAGAAAAGTGCATTTCTATTTGAAACATAATTTGAAACCATGTCCTAAATCTAGTTTCTGTTTAAATCTTTTTCTAGTCAAATGAAAATGCTTTCGAAATGCAGGTCATCAAGAAAATGAGCTACTTCAAGATTTTGGAAGTGATGTATTTACGTCTTTCCAAGGAAGATATATACTCCAAAGATTCTAAAATTAACCAGGCTTTTCAGGGTTCGACCCGTGTAGAAGGAAATGAACTTACAAAAACCTTAATAAAGTAAGAATCTTTCACTTTTCCCTTAAACGAATGTGCTGCTATTGTACCTGACTTCCATGAGCTTATGGTAAAAGCTTTTCAATTACGGTAATAAATTAGCTTGGACCAACATTCTCTCTAAGCCGTGCAGGTGTGTGCCACTCCATCAGGCGTCTGCAGTTGAAGGAGAATATCCCCTCATTTGCTTCTGTTTGTTTCTGGAACTCTGTGCACAGGAGGCTGAGCCTCTGAGCAGAGCTCCAAAGGATTAGAGGGAATGTTTGCTTGAGTTTTCAAATTTTTATTTAAAAAAAGAGACTAATTCATGAAAATCTGTTACTGTTGGTGACATCATTTCTGCTATGCAGGCAGAGCTCCACAAATGGGTTTTTGGCTGTATGTGGCAACTTGGATGTTGTCAGTGTCAACTAAAGACTAAAGTAGAATCTTAGTTTGGTATTTCATGACACATCTGAGTCTTAATTTAAACTGCTTTAAAATGTCTGTTTGGTTTTTTACGTGTTTTTTAAGGTCCTGCTATGATGCCTTTACAGAAAACATGTCAGGTGAAACTCAGTTGTTGGAAAAGAGAAGACAGTATCATTGTGCTGGATATAATTGTGCTATTGCTGTCATTAGCTGTGTCTTCAATGAAAGTAAATTCTATCAAGGCTTTCTTTTCTCAGAAAAACCTGAAAAGGTATGTAATATGAAATTCAATCCAATTTGCTAACTGGGCCTGAAATCAAATTAGGCTTTTAGGAAGGTTGTCAGCTGTTCTGTCTATTAAATATGAAACCCAGGCTCATAGAAAATGTTTGCATTCCACTTGTGGGTTCATTGCATAGTTTTATTCAACATGGTTTCTATTTCAGAAGAACTGGGGGAGTTGAAAATTTAGAGTAATTACTGTCCTGATTGGGAGTAAAGATGGAACTAGCACAGATGTGGAGATATTAAGTTGTGCTGGGGATTTGATTACTTCACCACAGGCCCTACATGGATGACTCGGACACTACTGGTTCTTCTATCCAAATATCTGGTGGAACTTTCTGATTTGAGGTTAGAGACTGTCAGCCAGACAACTTCCCCTGCTTCTTCCCCACTTGGGGAAATGGAACGGAGTGTTGTTGCTTTTTTCCCTTGGCGAATACTTTCAAGAGCCAGCTAAATCCCTAAAGCTGCAGAGTTGACATCAGAGAATTCCTTTGCGTACACACAATAATAGATAATGATAAAGAGAGGGTGGAGGCTTCTATTCCTCAGTGGGGCAAGGTTTTTGGTGTGTAGGGAAGGTTGACTGGTAGTGTACAGTGGGCCAGATTCTGAACCTTCTCAGAAGTTCTTTTCTGGACTAAGAGATGGTTGCCAGGTCAAAACAAGAGCTTGCAAAGTACACATGGGCAGTGCATTTAGGTATTCATAAATCTGTTGATTATTAGTTGTGTTATATCATGTTTTATTGTGTGTATGTGTATCTCATTTTTCTGCCATTGTGACACTCAGAACAGCATACAGAGAATTGCTAGGCAGTCTCCTCTCCAAGCACTGGTTGTATTCAAATATACTTAATTGTAGCAATGCAGTGAGATCTTGTGCCTTGGGGCTATGCCATAGGCCAGGATGTATCACATATGTCCTTATTTTGTCTGAAATACTTTGTTTAAAACAGCAAACATTTGAATAATACGCATATCCAGAATTCTCAATATAAATGAGTAGCAAGCTGCAATAAAAATAGTGTAATCATACTTAACTACAGTACCTCAGTTCCCATTTACTTTCACTAATATTTGTCTAGATCATGAGTCTAAAACTTTGACACAGTTTTGGAAATGGCAGAAGTATGTGGTAACCTTTAAGAGGAGGAATTTCTACATTTCAAGTTCTGGTTGCCTACAATCTGGTTGCTGTAAATTGGCAGCCATATCTGGGCTTTGGGCAACACATGTAAATTATGTCACTTAATGATATCAGTTTTCTGTCTTGAGAATTGTAGAATTTAGTTTAAAATAATAAGCACTTGATAATATTTTACTTTTTTTGTCTATTTTTGGTGACAACTCATAAATTGTTGTTGGAACATTTATGTTATATAGAGAAATATTTTAAAGTGAAAATTCAGAGCATAGTGATTAAATATATACCTTTTCCTCCTTTTTAGAATCTTTTAATTTTAGAAAACTTGTTGGATTTGCAACGCTGTTACACATTTCCCATTGAGATTGAGGTAGGAGGAAATAGCTGTTTGGGGTTTCTTTGAAAATTATTGTAATTTAAATTTTATAATCTTAGAATAACCTTGGAACTGCAGAGCTAGAAGGGGCCCTCTGGATCATTGAGTCTAGCCCCTGTCAAGGAGGCACAGTGGGGAATCAAATCTCTAACCTCTGGCTCCATCGTCAGATACCTAAATCACTGAGCTACATGATAATAAATGCACAGAGCAACATTGATGTTATGTTCAACATTTCTCCTTCAGTTTTTGAAAAGTAGAACAAAGTTAACTTGTCCTTATTCAGAGAAGATATTTCTAACCCTATGGACCAAGCTAAGGGGAATGGCTAAATCACAGGAAACAAACATCAAAAGATCCCTGGTGGTCCTACAGCACTCAGTAGTTGGCTGTGTAGTTTCCAGTTTTGGCCAGATTTTACAGCACTTCCTTTCAGTAACTTTTACTCTGTGTGTAACATGCAATAGTGATTATAGTTAACCTTAAAACTGCTATCACCAAACATGTCACTTCATCTATTCCATTTAATTTCTGGGTTCAATTCATAGTCATTGTGATCTTCAAAGCTGTTCATGTCTTGGGAACAGGGTAAAGGACAGCTTTGGAAGTTTTATAACTATAGTCAATGTGGAAAGAATTTAGTTGTTTATCGTATTAAATGTGAAGAAATTTTGTGTGTTTTAGGTTCCTCTGGAAAGAAAGAAACAGTACATTGCCATTAGGAGAGAAGCCAGGGAAGCAATGAGTGGGGATACTGGTATAAGTATTTGGCATTATTGGAAAAAGTTGTAATGATGAAAATCACTTATTTTTATAGAACTATTGGTGTTTATTGTGCTTTATAGTTTTGCCTAAGCAAAAATAAATTATTTCCCCATAGAATTTAGAATTTAAATCACATTTCCCTGACATGGTGCTCTTCAGAGGTTCTGGATTCCATTTCCAGCATACATAGCAATCAGGCTTGATGGACATTGACTTTTTTCTCCCTATTTAAAATTTATGTTAAAGTTTACATCAGTCTTCCTGAAAAGCACTCCTTAGCTCCCATTAATAAAAGAGAGAGAAAGGTTATTTACAGGTACTTAGTCTTTGTTTCAGACAGAGAAATGAATAGAAAAATGGCTTTGATAAAGAACTGAAGTAAGACAACTGCCACTGCATTAGTTTTTTAAAGGACGTCAATATGAAGCCAAGAGAATAGTTAATTTCATTTGTAATTTTTTCATTATGTTCATTTATTCCTTTTTAGATTGTTACTGAATCATGTATTTTTATTGCTTTAACATCCTTAAAATCCTGATCTTGCTACATTCATTCTACTTAATTCTTACTGAAATAGGACCAGTTAAGTCCCATTTTAGCCATGTCAGTTTTCATTGTGACTAAACTTAGTTGTATCAGGTGTTTAAGCTTTAGCTGTTTCTAATTAAAGTCTGAATATATGTTTCTTGCTTTTAAAAATGCATTTATCTGTCATAGATTGTGAAAGGCATGAATCTGACTAAAATTTCTTTAATTTTTTTAGTAAAGGAGAAATCTAGTTTCTCTCTTTCTTTGCTTACATGAATACATACACACTACACACAGGATGAATGGCAAAAATTCAGATGATGAAAACACTCATAAGTAGTATTCTTTAATGGACACATTAAAACTATTGGGGTCCTGTGGCAGTTCTTCTATTTTATTTGGTAGCTAGCTCTTCAGTCCCTGAATTGCCTTTTTATAATGACCGTGTTTCTGTCTTAGCTGAACCATACTATTTAGCCTCTGCGTCATATATGGTGGATAGCAGTTTGAGTGAGGAAATGAGCCAATTTGATTTCTCAACTGGAGTACAGAGTTTTTCATATAATTCACAAGATATTAGTACTTCTGGATCTCGCTTCAGGAGAAAGGTAACTTAACTTGCATGTTATGTGTAGAAATTATGTATCTCTGAGTGTATGTTACATCTCCCTGCTCACTCCTGTAATTTTTTTTCTCTGACTAATATAGCACAGCACTAATGACAGTAAAGTGTCTCTAGGTAGTTTGTCAGCTTTAAATCTAATGTTTGAAAACAATAAGTCATTCAGATGCAATATAAATATGGGTTGCATGTGTGGAAAAAGTAGTCTGTGTTATTCTGGTGTATAGAAACCTACATGCTGTTTTTCAAAGATTCCACTGGCACAAACCCTATAAGCACTGGAGTTATGTAAACATTAGTCTGAACAGGTTAAATAAGGGGACACAAATGACTAATTAGTGATTTTATTTTAAATATACTCCTTAGCTTATCTTTGTTCCAAATTCTGTTTGTATTGGCTGTCTGCCCATTTAAAATTTTAAAAAGGAGAGTGGGTTTAGGAATCGCCTCTCTCTCCATAATGCGGACAGTAGCTCCCTCAGTACCATGTTATGATGATGATGATAATGTTGTTATTGCAGATAATAGATTTGAACATTTTTTATTTCTGCTTTCTGTCATACCATAGGTTTTTGCTCCTGTTGTTCTGGTTCAAAACCATGAATTTATTGTCATTGATCTTCCAAGAAAAATAGCTGAGAATATGCTTTCCAGATGTTGGCTAAAGTCCTGCTGCTTTGTTACACAGGTAGAAGGTAAATAGCATAGCATTCACTCAGCTCTAGTTGACAATTGAAGAGTTGCTGCTTCTATTCTCAGGGGGATATTTAATTGCTGGCTAGAACTGAGTGAATGTTGGACTGTTTCCCTTCCACTTCTGTAACAAAGCTACAGCCAATATAATATATATTTCAGCCAATATAATATTTGTCTAACCTGTTCTAACTGATAAAAGATGTTCCTGTGCAGTTTTCCATGCATCTAGTGTTTTATCTAAACCAAACCAGCCTGTGTGTCCAGTGTGCCAGGAATCTATGACTTGAAATTAAACTGTGTGAGTATGCATGTGTAATGTCAGAGGACCTGGCTGAGATGAGAGATCAGCCACATGGATGCTGCATATATAATGTCCTTGGCTTGTGTCAGGTTTAAATTAGGCCTTTTGGCATCCTACTCTTTAAAAACCTTTAAATATTATTTAAATGAAGTGATCTATGACTGTTTTATTAAAAGTTTTGTTAAAAGATCACAACTGAAACTTTCAAGTCTTGCCTGTTCCCATAGATTAAACAAATTAAATACATGCTTTAGGCTACAAATACATTTTATTTATTGCTGAGCTCTTCCTGTGAGGGATAAGATTAAGTATGGAATCCTCAGAATTGATTTTGTTTTATTGTTTAAAAAGGATCCCACAGAATCTGTGGTTCCAGATGCTGTTATGGAATTAGAAATGGATGAACTGAATCAGCATGAATGTATGGCGTCTATGACCACCTTGATCAAACATATGCACAGAAATAATATCACACCCAAAGTAGAAGTGAGTATCTCTGTTGAACTTTACATGTTGTTAATACACACGTTTTTCTAAGTACCTCTATACTTTTTCTAAATTGCTTATCAGTGTTTGTTGAATAACTACATTGGAAATTCAAAGTATGCTATAGATGAAAGCTATCCTTCTTACAAAGTTCTTACAAAGTCTCTCATCACTTCTGATGTTTTCTGTTCACTCTTATTCCAAACATGTCTTTAAACTGCTTGCACTTTCCAGAAAGTCTCTCATTTTGTACTTTGAACTAAATTCATATTTTCCTGTATTTTTTTCCAGCTGTGGTTGTTTGGTAGAAAATCATCATCATCATAATTTCATGCTGTCAAGTAGATTCTGACTTTTGGTAACCCTTTCCTGATTTTGCTTGGGATAGAATACAGTGGTGCCTCGCAAGACAAAATTAATCCGTTCCACGGTTAATACCGTCTAGCGAAAATTTTGTCTTGCGAAGCCCAGTTTCCCATAGGAACGCATTGAAATTTAATTAATGTGTTCCTATGGGGAAAAAGTCAGAAACCAAAAAAAAGTCACTTACCAGGTACAGTAGACCGAGCCCCGCTCCTCACAGTGCCTTGGTTTCTGACTTTTTCCCCCATAGGAACGCATTAATTAAATTTCAATGCATTCCTATGGGAAATCCGCCTCGCAAGACAAAAAATATCGCAAGATGGCCCGTCTTGCGAGGCACCAAAAAACTCACAAGACACGTTGAGAAACCAAAAAAAAGTCACTTACCAGGTACAGTAGACCGAGCCCCGCTCCTCACAGTGCCTTGGTTTCTGACTTTTTCCCCCATAGGAACGCATTAATTAAATTTCAATGCATTCCTATGGGAAATCCGCCTCGCAAGACAAAAAATATCGCAAGATGGCCCGTCTTGCGAGGCACCAAAAAACTCACAAAACCCGTTGGTCTTGCAAGTTTTTCATCCCGCAAGGCATTCGTCTTGCAAGGCATCACTGTACTCAGAAGTGATTTACATTCCCATCTTTTCAGGGCATTCTGGGACCAGGTCGCTTGACAAAGACAACACGAAGGCACCACTGTACTCAGAAGTGGTTTACATTCCCATCTTTTGAGGGCATTCTGGGACCAGGTAGCTTGACAAAGACAACACAGACTGGTTCCTTTCCTGGCTGGCACAATGGAGAATTGAACTCCCAGAGTCAGTTCTTCCAGAGAATTGACTCTTCAGCCAGATGCCCAAGTCACTGAGCTATATGGTTTCCTCCCCTTGACTTAGATATATGAGAAATTTATTTCCTCCTCAGATTTGAGGCACCAGTACTATTGCATGTAACGCAAAAGGTTTTCAGATTTCAGAAGCATAATACAGTACATGTTTATCAAATAGTCTAATTGTCTTAATTTGTTTACAGTTTTGCCTATATTTCATATATGTCCATAATTTTAAATTGTGCAATGTTATGATAAGAAAGAAAGAAGATCAATTATTTGTGAACTTCTAAATTAAGCAGTGTTTCAGGTGAATTATTTCTTTCCTAGAATTTCTTTCTTACTTAAAAATCCCATGACAAAAAACTAGTACCCTTGCAGGCAATCACGTAGTACTGTATAAATATTCATGTGCAGAGTTACATGGAGATTATGCAGGTCAGTGCTATTGTGTAAGCATTCATGGAATAGAAAACTGTAGCCTACAACACACGACTTAGTGGGACAGGGCTTTTCAGAAAGTATCGTCTCTTCAGCATTGTTCCGTGTGTAGAATACGACTTACACAGTTCAGTCTTGGATGTGGCCCTTCTGCAGTCCCTCCAAAAGTGCAGCACCTTGCTTATTACCAAACACACAAAGTCAGTGCTATTTTTTGGGAATTAAACATTTCTGATTTCCTTCACCCAAAGGATTCCAAGGGAACCTTGGGAGCCCTTTCATTTTGAGGAAGCTGTTGGGGAGCGCAGGACAGCAGGGTGAGCTTTTAATCTCCAAAAATAATTGCCGGGATATGATTTTATTATCAACAGCAATTTTTGGAAACTAAAAACTCCCCCCACTATCTCACAGCCCCCAATGGCTTCCTTAGGATGGTGTCTTCAGCCTTACACAGTGTCCTTTTACACTACTGAATTTCAGGTGACTTACAAAGCTCTCATACATCATTCTTAAATTCAAGTTAAAATTACTTAGGTCGAATCCTGGTATTAAAGAAGAGTAGAAGATGGTTTCTGCATGGTTGAATCTACCAGGTGAAATTGTGTGTTTGGTGTGGTCAGTTATCACTGACAATTAATTTTGTGGGTTTATATGTATTTCTAATGTTTTTGCTGCTCAGGGTGCAGATACACCAGATCTTCCTCCATGGATGAAGTTTCTGCACAACAAACTGGGAAATCCCTCTGTACCAGTAAATATTCGCCTGTTTGTGGCTAAGCTCATTGTGAATACAGAAGAAGTGAGTTAGCTTTATAGTATTATATAAGAAATGCTGCTGTGACTAACTACTGTTGTTCAGCTGTGATGTACAATATTATCAGTGCTTCAGTCATCTCTTCAGTGTTTTCAATGAACTGTTGTTCATGAGCATGTTTAAGAATTATGTTTGAAATGTCACCAAAAAGATAATGAAAGATAAACTGATTTGTGTGCATCTGTTTCTTTAACCTGATGCAATTATATGTAGATATAACAAGTTTATATTCTTCTATGAAAACTTGTTCACCTTTTGGTTGATTTGTAGAGTGGGGTGACATTCAACTCAATGAGGAAAAAGCAAATTTAAATATCTCATTTAAAATACCAGCGTTATCCATTTCCCCTGTACATATATTTCCAGAGCAAGTATGTTTCCCATTGGTTGCTTAAATAATTAGAATTTGGTATTTTGCAACTAAATAGAGGCTTGGTGTAATTTCAGGCATTATTCAAAACAACTGACCATGAAGCCCATGTGTTGTTTGTGGTATATTACATGCTGTGCATGCATATACAGTATCCCCATCTTAAAGGCAGGCAAAGATGCTAAGCAACCATCCTTTCTTAAATAGCTTTTGCTCTGTGTGTCTTAATTTGAAACAAGTCCACTGCACTAAATAGATCTTACATTTGTCTCTACATTGTGAGTAAGCTATAAGGAACAATCATAATTTTCCAGGATAATGGCCATTTGGAAAAGTAGTGTTTCTTCCAGAGACAAGAAATGTGTGCCCATGTAGTTTGGTAGAATCATAAGTAGTAATAATTGAATACATTGCATAGCTCAGTTCAAGATGAAATTAAAAAACAAGATTCATGTGGGGTTATTAAATGATTCCAGTAAGATATAAAGTACTCTCACCTGCATTATGGTTTCTATAATGACTAATCCCTGGTCCCTGTGCCTGTCTATAATGCTAATACTTCTTTGCTGTATGATGACTGATCAAACAGGTAGCTTTGAGATGTGCCTGTGACTAAGTATCGGTCAACAGTTTTCCTATACAATGAATACATGTAGCATTTCATGCAAGAAATATATGATTTACGCTGTGGCCTTTAATTGGGGTCTGCTAGTAAAAAATGGGATTTAATTGAAAAAATATCTGAGTGATTTATCTTATATAAATTCAGCGTGTGTACATTTCAATTAGCACTTCAATCTGTTACCAGTTACTCAGTCCATTTTCACATAATTAGTAAAATGCATCTTCTTTTCCTAGGTATTCCAGCCATATGCAAAGCATTGGCTCGGCCCCTTACTACAGCTGGTTGTTTCTGGAGATAATGGGGGAGAAGGGATACATTACATGGTGGTAGAGATAGTGGTCACCCTGCTTTCCTGGACTAGTGTTGCTACTCCCAAGGTAACAAAGTGAGGAATTTAGTACTGCATATAATTCATGTATAACTTTCCCCTTAGTATTATGCTGAGGCACATTAATTGAATAAATATAGATATTATTGGCATTTAATAGAGATGGGGGTATTCGTATATGAATATGAATATTCTCACACAGCTGGACTTAACAAGGGTCCAGCCCCTGGGGCCGGACTGTCCACTCACATGTCTGCCAGCAGCCTCACTCATCCTTCCAATCCCTCCTGGAGTCCCGCTGTCTTCCCACTCAGCTGGCCACTTGGCAACTGGGCACTAAGACTTGTCCTCCCTCACCCTGCTTGGAGTGCCTAGCCGAGAGGGAAGGGAGCAGGGCTCCGGGAGTGATTGGAAGGATGAGTGAGTCTGCCGTCGGCGGACACATGAGTGGACGGTCCGGCTCCATGGGCCAGACCCTCATTAAGTCCAGCTTCACATGAGTCCCGCTATTCGTATACGAATACAAATACAGTGGTGCCTCACTTAGCGACGTTAATCCGTTCCGGAAAAACCGTTGGTAAGTGATTTCACCGCTAAGCGAAAAGAAAAAGCCCATAGAAACGCATTAAAACGCGATTAATGCGTTCCTATGGGCTAAAAACTCACCTTTAAGCGAAGATCCTCCATAGGGGCGGCCATTTCTGGTGCCTCTTAAGCGAGGTATCCATCCCGGAAAACAGCGGGCGGCCATTTTGAAACCGCCGATCAGCTGTTTTAAAAGCATTGCTTTGCTATGATCGGTTCTCCAAGCAGGGAACCGACCATGGCAAAGCGAAATTCCACCACCCTCCAGCCATCCCCGGATGAGCAAGCCTTTCCAGGGCCGGCCCCGCAGACAGGGCATTGGCTGCCCAAGGTGCTCGGCTCCAGCCTCTGCCTCCGCCCCCCTCCTGCCCGCGGTGCCCATGGATGCGGCCGCGCTCCCTGGGCACCGCAAGGAAGGCCTCCGGGGTTTGTCTGCCTTGGACGGCGAGCGGCGGGAGGAGTCCTCGGAGGCAGGCAGCTGCCCGGGGCGGGAAGGGGCGTGCCACCCACAGACAGCCAGTCAGCCCCGGATGCCTGGTCTTCTTGGCGGGGCTCTCCCGGGGCGCAGACTGGGCGAG